TTCCCATAACCAATGCATATAACCATGTATCATTGGTTATTTGGATAAGAAAAACATGAAGGTCAGTTACTAATCATAGATTTATTTGAGAAACTATATTAAGTGTCAGCCTATGCTTGACACTAGACCTTCAGTGGAGGAAAAGAAGATAGAATCTCTCCTCTCAGAGAGCTTACAGTCCAGTGAACTGAAACTACTCCTCCAAGTACTTAAATAATCCCTCTCCTCCAACTGTCATTGAGTGTTCAAGCTTGTGAGCTTGACTTTGTTTCAGCATGTGTTTTCTCAGCATTTTGTACACTGCTGTAGAGATGAAAGGATGCTTGATATTCCTGAAATACCTTTTTTCATGGCTTGGTGGTTTGCAAAGGGTCCAGTTATTGAGCCTCACACAGACAAAATAGTGGCTGGTCAGCCGTGTGAAGTACAGCACTCATAGTTCCGGAAGATACCTAATATACTGAGGGACTGCATTTAACATGTAGCAGTTGAACTTTATGCACCTATTTTCTCTATAGGTCACATATGGCATATATTAAGTAGAAATGTGAATGACCTTAGGTATCATCTAGTTATCCACTCAGCAGATTGTTTGTTCAACATCCATTGTGCTTTGCCATTGCGCTTTTTCATCAAGCAAGGGAAGAAACAGACGGAGAGGTGAGGGTATTTGTTCTCTTCTAGGCAGTGGCAGAACTTGGGCCATACCTCTATTCTTTTCCAGTTTTATGCTAAACATTGACAGAGTGACAGTGGTGTTACCCCTTTGTTGTTCCTGATCACAGAATTTCTAGCCACTGAAACCTTCCTTCATAGCTAGTATGTACTCTTGCATGGTGTAGTCAAAGAAAGTAGGATAAACATTGCTGATATTTGACCACTGATCATTTCTTACCTTACAAAAAGCAGTTTCACACGGTTCAGCCTAAGCTGTCTCCTGTGACCATATGCAAATGTTCTTTTGAGATCACAGGTAATATTTTTCCATTTCTTTCCATGTGTGTGTATGCACATATACTTGCCAGTATGCACATATACACAATTGTTTGTTTCTCCAGAACTTGTGGTTAATGAGAATACTGGAGCCAAAGCCCATGTTTTCCAAGCGTGATGTTTGTTTGGGATGGTCTCCTTTTCTCCTCCCAACTCACATTAGACCCCTTGCTAGGACACTGTTCTGCACACATGCATCGCATCAGCATGCCTTCCTTTCCTCTGAATCCAGAAAGAGGTCAAGCTGAGGAGAAGAAAATTTGGCTTATTTATGCCCTATCTCCTTTCATGTTGGACTCTAGTGTGGAGCTAGCTGTGTTCCTCTACCTATAGCTATAGCTGTTGCTTGGTGTCTTCTGTAATAATAATAGTGCTTTTCCTGGCTCTTACTTCAGATTTTATGCTTATAAAGGTACGTTTTCTAGGAACATGAGTTATGAGGCTATATTTGCTTAGCTTTTATAGCTGCAAGCTAATTACTAAGACTTGTAAATGCCCTAAGGCAGAAATGACAATGAATATACTTATAAACAGTACTTATTTATACTTCAAATCTCAAAACTAATTATTAGTTATTCATGCTTTTTATCTTCACTAGAAACTCTAAAATAAAAAAATACTAGCTACATTAGTTTCTAATATGGAATGTAAGAAAACATCTGAATGTTTTTAAAATATGATTATACTTTGCTGTTACTTTCATATTAATTATTGTCTATAGGGCAAAACATTAAGTCAAATATAGTATAAATTTGGTATGTAATGTTTGCTACAAATGCTTTCCAGATTTTATTCTTTGTCTATGGTATATATAGTTATATGCCACATAAGAGGAAAAGAATAAATAACCAAAGAAAATATTTTTAATTCACTAAAATAGCATTTTGGTCTGTATTCACAGATTGGCTTAACTATTCCCAAAGTAGTTCATTGCTAGAACAAACAGTTATGGAGTTCATATCATAGACCATCATTTGTGTCCATGCTGTGGAAAGTGAGAAGATTCATGGGAATCATATTCTGGATTCCACAAGGCTCCTTAACAGTGTCACAAGTCCATTAAGTATTGATTGGAAAGAACCAAAATGAAAAGTCAGGTCTCTTAGCTCTGGTTCAATCTTCCTTTGCACATAACTGCACCTCAGTCAGCAGGCGCTCAGTATGTAGCTAAACAGATATTAAAAGGCATGAGAAAAGTAGTTCATGCATCCCTAACAAATGTTTCATTTTTACTCTAGGCGATCAGTAAAGTTGCAGGCTTCAGTACTCTCTGAAATAAGCTAAGAGTGGGCAATAAATAAGAGTACAGATTTATTCACCATATGATATTTGCATCTGAACCTAGTATACATTCAGTCTTCATATTGCGGGGCAGGAGAGCCCTAGATACTTGCAAGGCCCTTCACACTTAATTAATGCCTAAAAAATTTAAATTCATGTTAATAAATTAGAAGGCTATTGGAAGACTATCTGTGTCATAGCCCCATACCCTAGATTCCTTACAAAAACAGCTAGTTTTAGCACTATTTATGGGAGCTTTTTAGGCTCTTTGAATGTATTTAAGGGTCAGAGAGAAGGGGAATAGGATAGCAAAATGAGTGGCTTGAACTGGACCATGGAGATCCTGGAGAGTACATCACATGAAAGATAGGACAGAATGAATGCCTCCAGACACCTCTCTGATTCTGTTAAATATTAACATAGGACACCTGATATTTTCCACAGTTATTTACAAAAGTTTCATAAAATGCAGTTGCAGTTTGTATAGATGTTAATAGAAATTATTTCTAATTTTTGGTCATAATCTAGTGAGATGGGAATGATGTTAGATGTCAAGAAATAGTTAATGGAGATTTTTTTTAAGTAATAAAAAGTAAGCACCAGTAAGCCTCAAGTAATAATAAGGGAACTTTAGAATATATAGATATAAGTATGAGTAAGCAAATAAGGTAAAACTACTTTGATCAACATTCTGGTGTTTAATCACAGTTTGAGGGATTAATGTGAAAATTTGACATATTCCTGGCAATTTTGGCAGTTCTTGCGTTGAACTTCAACTTGGTGTTATAGGTTTCTCACCGTGAGCTAAAAAAAAAAAAGGTGACATAAACTTGTTCTTTTGACATATTTTTGATTGCTTCCTAAAAGACATCGAGGAGCTACCCTGGTGAAACATTTAGTATGTCCAACTTCTTTAAAGTCAGCTGTGACTGGGCTTCTAAGTTGATGCTGTGCTTCTTAATAACAAGGCAGAAGGGAAATCGGGCTAAATGCTATTGTTCTCCTTTTATACCAAAGAAGGCTATAAGTACAGCAGGTTTCTCTTCTGGAGAATCACTATTCTTCCTAGTCACAATTTCTAAGGAAATAAGTATTTCATGAAATCTTAGGAACCTTTATTTTTTTCTGAAAATCGAAGTATTGCATGAACATTTGAAGTTTTGTAAAGTTGTGATTCCTAAGAAATAAATTATCTAATGGCTCTTCATCTGTCACTTCCAAAAGCAAAGCTATTTGAATGTTTTCTTTATTGTGATGTATTAGAACTTCATTAATAGGGAAGTCTTACAAATGTTATTGTTTTTGAGCAAGATCACACTGTGCTGAATAATGAGATATGGGAATACATCGAACAGCTTGACTTCTGCTGACTTTTACTTAAGAGTGTGAAGCATTTTAAATTAGACTATGTTAGTATTGATGAAATGTGCACAAGGGGGAAAATAATTTAAAGTCTTTGTTCCATTTTGAGAGCTAGATAAATTATTTGACTTAAAAATAAAGCACTGTGACCTGGAAGTACAGCTTCTATATACTATTGGAGAAAGTAAAAATAGGCAACATGTTTGGAACACACTTTGGTGATATCTAAGAAATTCATAGTGTGTTTACCCAGGGACCTGCAATTACACATGCTGAGAAGAATCCACCCCTAGATAAACTTGTAAAAGTACACCAAGGTGGATAGATGTATAGGAGTATTTATTGCAGAGATGTTGAAATAGCAAAAGAAAACTGTTACAAAAGTAATATAAATATATAACAAGAGGACAGTTGCTAAATTAAACATGTAGTCATTTGATGGAACACCCTAAGCCATTAAGAAGTATGTATAGAATCATTTTATACATCTTGATATGGAAAGAAGTCGTGAATGGATTAGTAAGGAAATAAGTCATGTATAGGTCATAATGAATTCTTTTTCTGTAATTAAAAAAAATGGAAAAATCTTACACAGAGGTTTATATAGATATATTTATATAAATTATGCAAATTTATATATTGAATAAGCAAATGCATATATTGTTCTCATCCAGATTTCAAAGAGTGGGCATTTAACAATGTAAACATTTGCTTTTGATAGAGAGTGATCCTTACTTTTCTTTCTATTAGATAGATTTCTGTAAAATTTTAATTCCACTCAACAAGTATATGCAATACTTCTATTCTAAACATCAATATGAGTGTTCTTAAGTAACTCACTATTTTTTATTTTATAGATTTAAAACCCAATAATTAATATTTTACAAAGTAACTGGGGATGATTTTTAGGTTTCTGAGATCATGAAGCCTGATAAATTTTAGTATGTACTATATTTTCTGAAAATCAACTCAAAATTTCGGTGGAACAGTTATATCACAAACACAGTTCAGGCCCTACAATTACCATCTTCTTATTGAGAGTACATCTCTGAGCTCTACAGAAGATATGTCAACGTGGGATGGGATAGTTAGGGACATCAAATCTACCTCCCCTTCTGTGCAAGAAATAGGAAATCAGTTATTGGAACTGTTCTCATGAACTATGAAAAGGAACACACCACAAAACAAAGACCCCTCTGAATGTAGTTTCATACTTAATAGATCCAATTTCGATGCAGAATGGAGAGAAAATTGTTGCATGTTTCCTCTGGACCCTGTAGTTTTATGCAGCATCCTATATTCTGGAAGCAAGTCCAGAAGGAATCAACAGAATGACTATCTTCTGCTCTTTTGAATCTTTTCAGAATTGCAACATACTGTGAGTCCTTCTGTGTGTCTGGATCAGGAGGGACAATTACAGCCAAGTACATCAAGTTACCTTTTAAAAACAGTGAAGCCACGCACGTGGAAACCATGGGACTGGCAACGTGAACAGCTGTAAGCTAATCATTTTGAACTGTTCTACCCAGCATGCATTTTAGGAGACAGCTAATGTGAAAGAAAGCAAAGAGCAGATCTGGTGGTGGTGGTGGTGGTGTCACATGTTTGAATTATTAGGTTATGGTATATAAATTATCAGTTATCTTTTCTTAATCTCTAGTTTCTTCCACACTAGTGAAAATTTCTACTGCCATTGAATAAACAGTTGCACTTTTATCTAGTAAGTTACATTAATATAAATGAATCTAAAACATTGACAATGTGAAACTAAAATTTTAACTTCTCTTTCTATTCAAATGGCATTGCCTTAATTATGAGTATGGATGGATGTATTTTTTTCTAACTATAAAATTTTTTGGTGGGTCCCAGGATCTAAAAGGGAATCTGCCAGTATCAAGTTGTTTAAGATACCTCCAGGGAAAGGATTTTAGTATAGAGATAAATTATAGGGAAAAATTTAGAGATTTTAATTATCTTATCTAATGCATAAATGAGTCTGCTTCATCCTATTTTATGGTTATTAAGTAGTATGGCAGCAGTTAATAATATTTATTGAAAATTATATGCATCTTATGCTTACCTAGACTTCAAAAGTTAAAATAATATATTTTTTCACTGATAAATCTTAGATATTTAACATGTACAAGCATGATGAAGACAAGGAAAATAGCTATATATTTTATTCTCACTTATGATGATCATATATTTATTTCATCACAAAACATCAAGCTAGTATGACTTGTCTTTTGGAGATTGAACTGCTTTTTAAATATTTCAACCTGGAAATTGACATTTAATTATCAGGGGTAAGAGGTTTTCGGTAGCCTTAAACTAGTGGGGAATGTATTTTGACATATTTTTGTGGATTTTTTGTTGTTGTTGTTAAAACTTAGCGTGTTTTCGCAGAGAGGGAAAGATAGAACAAAGGTAGGTAGGAGAAGAAGAGCAGAGGAAAATCAGTTTCATTTCTTCCAAACTGTAATTTATGTCAGTTTTCTGGTATCAGTACCAGGAATCTGAAGTCATGCAATAGTGTGACTAAATTTAGTTTTTAAAATCTTTAAGGGGGCTGGGGATTTAGCTCAGCGGCAAAGCGCCTGCCTGACAAGCGCAAGGTCGTGAGTTCGGTTCCCGGTACCGGAGAAAAACCAAAAAAAAAA